AATTCTTTAGCCGCTAAAGGAGGTTATTTTGGCAAAAAGTTGCAGAATCTGTAAAATCCTTTTGGTGCATAAATGACTTTACATAAATGTAGTTTCTCATGTTGGGGAAATTAAGCAGGGACCTCCTTTGGTTAAAAAAGTTAAACTAGCTGTAGGGAGGTCTAAACTAATAACCATTTAGTTTCTTAGCCAAATAGTCACTAAGTAAATTTTAGAAAAATACGCACTATTCGACAACCCTACTGAGTAAAATATAATTCCCTAATATCTCTAACTACAAGACTTATTCTGAAACATATAATGGGGAATTAGTGTGGCGTTAAACTATGGTTGTTTATCCCTGGGTATTGGCGAGTAATCACTTTCGAATATACCCTCGAACCATGCCAATAGCCTGAATGCTTTCTCTTTGCTCTATATACATGTACTGCCCTAGTATTATGTCTTCTTTCGTCTTCAGGGAAGTCTCGGGACGCTACAGTAGTGCCTTAAGTCATTAATGAGTCTGCAATAGACCATACCGTTATGAAGCACTACTGACAGCTAATATAGTCAAGGCTTGAGAGGGCATGGGCTTAAACTTCAGCTGTCCGAGAAACAATGCTGAAGTATGCTTGGTAAAAGTCCTCCTGTCTGCAAACTGCTTCGCTCGAAATGCACAACTCTGTACTTAACCAATGCATGTTTTTTACACACCATGATGCAGCTCTAACAAGGAGGTCTACTGGTGTTATTCGAAAATGATCGGCAAATACCTGGGTCTCAGTCCTGAAAGACTTCTACTCTGACGAGAAAAATTAAATTGCCTGTCTGACCTTAGAAATGCGTCGCATATGTTGATATGCATTATACCCCAAAAAATCAATCACTGCCATGACTCGGAGTCGACGCGACACACCTGGGCTTGTCTGTTTGTCCGAAGAGCAGGGTCGATGTCATTATCACCAAAGCCTTCCCTTAACCATCAGCGGCCTCATAACTGCAGCCAAAGGGATGACGGAGATTACGCTGACTCCCCACTTTACCACCTTTTGCCCAAAAGGAGCACTGTTGGTAGTAGACAGTAGATATCTCGATGAATAAAGACAGGGAGCAGTGCAGGTGTATTACGAATACTGCGAGTGGTGACAGTGATTGACTTGTTAGCTTATTGTGCCTATCTACATATGTGCGACGCATTGCTAGTGCAGTGGCCATTCCATTCCCACATCGGGTAGGCACGTGACTTTCTCTAGAATGCAGAGTCCTCCTT